CCCCAACCCCTCCACCCCGCATCTGCCCCACCAATCACTTTTAAAAGCAGATCAACAGTGTAGAGATGGAGCTCATCTTTCTAACCTGATAAACCTAAAATTCTCAATCTATCCTTAAATGCTAACCAAAAGATGCAAAGCTGGATACATTTGGGGGAAATTCCTGGAGACTTTTTTTTTTTTTAATGATGTGATGCTAAAGCAATTCACCCACCAGTTTCAACCACATTCCTTCCCTTTGCTCTCTCCATTTGTCATGGGAATAAAGGGATAGCTCCTATGCTAATGGCAAGTGTGAAAAACCTCCCATCAGAATGTTCCTTTTAAATGAGAATGAAACAGGCAGGCTGAACCTTCTGTCTCCTGCCCCCTCCTGCTACACAGTTAAGCAAACTTCTCTACCTCTTCTCAGGACTAACCTGTTGTTGGGACAGCCCTCNTCCTGCTACACAGTTAAGCAAACTTCTCTACCTCTTCTCAGGACTAACCTGTTGTTGGGACAGCTGTGTGGACTGACTAGATAGAGACACCCTGCTGTCCTGTCTTTGGGCAACAGCTAATCCACCTGTACAGGCAGCTAATGGCAAAGAACCTTAGGCTGTGCACCCGAGCCTGGCACAACCTTGTCATGGGACCACCTAGCTAGCTGGACTAGGTGCCTCAGGAGGCCCCCTCTTACCCCTGAAATCCCAAGAACCCTGTCTCTGGAATCTCAACCTCAAAACCAAAGAGGCTTGGAAATAACTCTGGGCCAAGCCAGGAAGCCAGGCTTTAGGTGCCAATTGTGCAACTGCCAGGAATTAAGGTGACTTTTCTGGGTTTTAGGTTGTGAAATCCGGAACCTGGATAATGCTGTGCATATGAGGATCCTACAAGTGGAAGGTGTTAAGGAATTCTGCGGATGAAGTGGCCAGAAAAGAAATCCTGGTCAGAGGGTGGTAGCGGGTGCCTGAAGCTCCTGGCACCAGGCTCCTCACATGTGCAGCCTGGAGAGTCTGGGCAGCTCCAAAATGGGCAAAGGGGGTCCCTGGATACAATCCCACCTGGCATTTCACATGGGACCGATGCAGCTCTAGGTGTACTAGATCACACTGTGACTTTGGAAGTGCAGTTCCCGGTGGCCCTGGGGTTGGATGTGGGGAGCATCCAGCCAGTTGACCATAAAAAGCTGTGGGTGAGCAAAAGCATGGCCTCGTGGTGCTTGTAATTAACAAATCTTTTTTTTTTTTTTTTTTTTAAGAATATAGTGTCCAAATACTGAAAATGTGACCCATTTTATAAACTTTCTAACAAAAAGTTGGCGTAGAACTTTGGCGAGACTTTGCCCTCCGTTTAGAAGCTCTGCATCTCCTCTACTTGAAATTTCTAAGGTCAAAAGCCCACCATTTCGGAGCTTGTGAAACAACGGTCAATAGGTAGCAATGTGCATGGGTGCAATTCTCTGAACCAGCTGCAAGATATTTTGACAGAATAAACTGGAACCCAAGTCTTCCAGAGAAAGGGCTGTGTGGAGGGTCCAAGGCCAGAAATGTAGCAGAGGCCATGAACTATGGCTCCAGGAAGGGGTAGGTGGGGGGAAGGCGCAGGCCTCTGGTGGGAGGAATTCCAGGGCCTGGGGCTGCCTGTTAGGGGCTTCCCGGGCAGATGCACAGACACGCCCCCACCCCCACCT